AAAATAAACCAAATTGTTTGAAACATAATACTTAAACCAAAACTATATTTTAATTAACTTATTTAACTTCAATGACTGATTTGTGGTTATAAGGATTATGCCAACGCAACTTGTCTGTATGTAATATACATTATGTGTTGATAAAAACATATTAGGGTGTGTTATCAAAAAAGAATACACATGTTCGCTTAATGGTACTTTTGCATTTTTTGTTGTAAGATGTTTAAATCGTGCTACAGATGAAGAAAGTTGTGTTGTGTGTAATAAAACATTTGATAACACTTCATAAATTGTCAACAAGTTGTGTTTATTTAAAAGTTGGTTAACTTTGTGTGAAAACAGAACAACAAGTGTTTGTATAAACGTGAAAAATATATTATATTTTTAACAAATTAAATGTGAAGCGTCAAGACAGATATACACAATGCTATAGTATTAATGAGTGTATAGATTGTGCAAAAACAAGCTGTTGTCAAATGTCTGCTTATGTTATACAGTCATCTAAAAATGCATAAAGTCTTTCAACAACAAATGTTTAAAATAATAAAATAATTACAAATTTGGTAATGAAAAGTTGTGTAAAATTTATACGACAAAAAAAAACTGTGTTATTACAATTGTTACAAAATTCACAATAATACATATTATAATACCTATTATACCAATCAAAATAGTTGTTTTACGAAATCATAATGAAACAAAAATGATCAAAAATGTCTGCGTGTTTGTAATAAGTTGTTATAACATCACAATGAGTGTGATTGATAGCAAAGTTTTGACAAACAAAAAGTTGTTATTTGATGACAAGTATGTTGTCATTCTCGTTAAAAGGGAGTTTTGTGAGCTTTTATGTTTGACAACAAATCATTTTGAAAATGAATGTGACACACAACTGGTGAAATAATTGTATGTTTCGCATATAAATGGTGTTCGGTGACTTCGTAAAAGTAGTGAAGCATTCTATTTTAAAGTCTTTGTAACTCTATAATGCATTTAAAATTGCATTATGATGTGTTGAATGTAACATTGACAAGAAACTAGGAGAAGTATTGTTTGTTATTATCTACAACAAAGTTACAAAAAATCGTTGTAATCATAAAGCCAATGAAAAGCATAAACAGTAAATGTTCAATGGATTAATTCAAAAATGAAGTATCAATTTTGGACAAGTTTAGGAGTGTACATGTAGTTCACTTATATTATGTTGTTATAATACTAAGTTAAGTATGTACAACCACAACATTGACATATAATAACATATTGAATAACATTTTTATGCAAATGAAATTAAGTTTCAACGAATTAAAAAGTCGTTTTTAATATACATTTTACATGGAGATATTAAATTACACGACTTCTTAGGATTTTTGCATCAATGTTTTTATTAACATTTAAGTGAAATTGAAATGAATGCTTTGTATGATTCAACAAATAAGTAATTGTTGACGACTAAAATGACATTTACATAAAATGTTATTATTTATTGTTACATGGCGCTTGATATTATGAAATAAAAATCTACAAAAAGTTTGTTTACCATTTCTTGTTGGTAATGATAACAATGTTTGAATTAACAAATAGGTTAGATTTACCATTAATCAAGGTTCAATTTTTAATGAACAACAGTTTACGCTTTTAAAAGAAAACATTGGTCTTGACTGAAAACAAAAAATAAGTTTAATACGGCAGAAATAAAAAGGCGAAACACACGTGCACAAGTGACAACATACAATATTATCATTGATGTTTTTATGCTTTTAATAAACTAAGCACGCCCAACTTGATATTATATTAAAGTCACAAGTAAGCTGTTCTGACATTAAATTCAAATGGTTTTTGGTGTTTAATTTGAAAAGTTATTCTATTTTTGTTCTTTATAAATGTCTTTTTATTTTTAAAAATAAATCATAACATTTGCCTATTTTTATTTTGGTGTCTTTATATATAATAGTTTAATTTGATTGGTTGCTCAAAAATAAAATATTAGCAAATTAATGGTTTTTGTTTATGTGTTTTTTCGGGAATAAATGAATCATTTTTGATTCTCACTTGGTATTCTTGATTTTTTTGGTTAATTATTACCTTGTACAGTTAGTTTCACAACAATTCCTTATTTTTCATAACAAATAGATTTCTGTTTCATAACAATTAGATTTGTACCTTTGTTCAGCCCTGTTTCAAAATAATTATTTTTTGTTGCACAATTTGCGTGATCGTTGCACAATTGGCGTTATTGTTGCATATAAATATCGGGTGTTTCAGAACTATTTATTTATCCTCAAATCAATAATTTATTGTTCCAAAACAAAAAGTTGTTTCATAATTATTGTATTTTGTTTTAAAATAATATAGGATTATTGTATAATTGTTTTGTATTGTTTCAAAACAAAAATTACCAAAAATAACCAAAATAAATTCAAAAAATATAAAACTGTAAAAACTACACTTTTTAATAAAATTTGTTAATTATAAATAGTTTTACAGTTATCATTGAATAAAAATTGTTTAACCAAATAAAAAACTTAATGTAATTATAAGTCTTCACGTAAAAACACTTTACGAGTCACTACTTCGCTTCTTCCATCATATTTTTGTTCTTGATATTACGACATATTGTTGACGCATTAACAACTTCATTATCAAGTTCTTCCACCTTTCCAGTTTTCCTATTTCTTCTTCAACAAGGGTCTTGTTGGTTTCTCCGAGAGTTTTCCTTCAAGTGACACTTTTAGCGACCACAGATAAAAGTGCTGAACTATATTTAAACTTTCTTCCTTTTTTGGTTTTGATATATTTTCTCCTTTTGCCAACTGTCCCAATAACTTCTTAAGTGATGACTCACCAATGCGGGTTTTCTCTTTATAATACTTCCAGTCTCGTTCCTAACCATGTTCAGTATATTCTTCTGTTAGCGTCTTCCTCTGTGTTTCTGTTACAACGACGTATATCCTTTTGATCTTTTCCTCCTCCGATTGTTGGGCTGTGTGAACAATTGACGAAGGCGCGAGTGGGACCAACGAGGCAACAATATCTTCAGCTAATCTTCTTTCTGTTATTTCGAGTGGTTGTGGTGTTTCTGCAACTGGGGAAACCTTTTCGTGGTTGAGGAATCCATCGACTTTATCTCGGTGGATGAACTCAAAAGAAGCGATTGCCATTACTTTATTTTTTATTTTTTAGTTTATGATTTTTTGAATTTATTTTGGTTATTTTTGGTAATTTTTGTTTTGAAACAATACAAAACAATTATACAATAATCCTATATTATTTTAAAACAAAATACAATAATTATGAAACAACTTTTTGTTTTGGAACAATAAATTATTGATTTGAGGATAAATAAATAGTTCTGAAACACCCGATATTTATATGCAACAATAACGCCAATTGTGCAACGATCACGCAAATTGTGCAACAAAAAATAATTATTTTGAAACAGGGCTGAACAAAGGTACAAATCTAATTGTTATGAAACAGAAATCTATTTGTTATGAAAAATAAGGAATTGTTGTGAAACTAACTGTAAAGTTTTATAATTTTTATATTAATTAACTTTTTTGAAATAAAGTGATTATTTTGGTTTGTTTCTATAATCTGAATAAAAATAAAATGTAATATAATGATAAATAATTATTAATACCTTTTTTTGAAAAATATCATTTTGGTAAAAATTGTATTAAACATGTTAGTATTTATATAATTATTTATTGGGACTTTTTTCATTATAAATATTTTATTTTTAGTTATTTTTTGTTATTCTTTTTTTAGTGTTTGCGATTGGGTTTTGTGCTCTAAAAACTGAAAAAACTTGATATTATTTAGTTTTTAATTTTTACAAAAAAAACATTTTTGGGAATTTAATTTTTCATGTAAAAACGCAAATTTCCACGGACCATGGTTCAATAAACAACATTTATTAAATTGGATAAGAGAAAGAATTCTGATTTAAAATGCTGAGGCAAATTACAAATTCAGTTCATTATTTGATTGCAATGATTCGGAGCTAGGTAATTATAAGTGCCTTCCTAGCTCAGTCGGTAGAGCGTGCGGCTTTTAACCGTAAGGTCGGGGGTTCGAGCCCCCCGGGGGGCGTTTTTTCTTGTTTTTTTATTAAATCAAAATTGTATTTATAAATTAAATCAAATTGATTAACTTTATTGTTTAGCATTTGTGGTCTAAGGGCAGAATTCCACCCTTCCACGGTGGAGATCCGGGTTCGAGTCCCGGCAAATGCATTTTTTGTTTTTTGGAAAACAAAAAAACCAAATAGTTAAGATCTTAAAGTTTTTATAGTACGGTGGTTAATTTTACATCAATGACAATTATTGTATTAAACTATAAATTATAATAATTTTTTAAAATATATATAGTTGCGGTTTAACTTGTTCAAAATGACACAACTGATAATGTCGATTGTTTTCATACAATAAAAATGTAATCCATAGTTATTTCTATTAACATTATATAATTTTTAGTAGTTTGCAAAATTACTTGAGAGAAGTGGCATTTTTATTTTTCTCTAAGTTCAGATTTATTCATTTTTCAATTCATTATAAATCGGTTTTGTACAGTTACAAAGAACTTTGATGATTATAATAACAGCAAAAATGCTTTTGATTGGTTTATTGTGTCAAATATGGAAGTAACTTGTTAATAATTGCATATTTGGGAATACTTCCTTTTTAATTTACAAAGCGAGTTTTGTATATTTCAGCTCACCTCAGAAAATAGGACTGAATTTAGTGAACCCGATCCACTTAATCACAATTGAATACTTTCGCTGTTATGTTTTACTCAAATAAGAGTAATTACTTTCAAGTATAGTATAAATTATAGTAATTATATTATAAACAAACCATAACTATTAAAATACAGAGTTTTCTGTTTATATCAGTTATATCAGTCTCATTTAAGGGGTATTAAACAAAAATTTGAAGCTCATAAAAATCCAAGTTTATGAATTGTTCGAATTAAAACGATGAAAAATACTGTTATTTCATATGGCGTTGATAAGAAAGCTGTTTAAAATGATTCATTTGAAAGAATCAGAGAATGAATTGAAGTATGCATTATTGAATGAGAAGAGAGAAAAATGTCCATTACTTTTCAAGAATATAATCAAAAATTTTGAGAGTCGAATGTCTGAGGTCAAGATGGTGTCATTTTTGGAGAGTCTTGTAATCTTGTTAAATAGTGAAAATGGCGGTGCATTAGCTGATGAAATTGTTTTACGACATAAGACATGTGCATCACTAAAAAGACTCATCAAAAGGTCTCAAATTTTAGATCCATTTTGTCAATATGTTGATTCTCTTATAACCATCCAACACCTTCATTTTACTTACAACACCTTTAAAAGTGAAATGTATACTTATTCAGACGTTGTTGAATATATAAGACTCTGTTCCCACAGCTGGACTCTACTTTCCAATATTTCATTGAATCAAACAGTATTCTATTTCGAAAATCCGTTGCTTAGAATAGTCTTTTATGAACAATGTATTCTTCTGTGTAAGACTTTAAATTGTTTGATGGAAGTTATTAAACATATTTCATTTGCTACAGAAGAAGATTTAGAGTCATTAATTCAGTCTATTAATACACTTGAAAATTTAAAATATTTATTCACTAAGAAGACACAAGAATGGACAGTCCAACAAGAATATGGTAAACTTTCTATGTTATCATTCTATCAAATGAGTCCTTTCGTTATCTTCATGAAAGAAATGCTTAAGAGAAAAAGACTTGGAAAACAGACAAAGAAACAAGAAATCGAAATACACAAATATCTTAATACTACAGAATATGACTTTGTTAATAATGTAGTGAAAGTTGAGTCTTTTGTTTCATTCAGATATCGAAAAGTGTATATTCAGTCGGCTGTAAAACTTTAAATCCTACTTAGAACCAATTCAACAGAAGTGGTTGTTCATATTTTTGATTGTTTTTCTGTTAAGTTGTTCATTTCACATGTCAAATCCAAAAATAAGAAATTGTCATTTTTCTTTTATTACAATAAAGTCTGTCACAGTGTGGCAGAATACAAATTTTATAATTATTCAATAGTATAATATTAATATTAATATGTTATTTATTAAATAAATGAACCAACATCGGCCATTCTCATCACATTTACCAAAATAAAACAATTACCTCTGTTGTTTTTAAAAAGGAGTCTACCTTTAAACTATGTGTCCGTACTATGTAAACAAAAATATATTTTCCCCCGCTTGCAGAGAAGGATCAGAGGGAAAGCGGGTGAAAGGATACACAAATAGAATGTTGAAGTGAGTTCTTACAAAATTGTTTTTAAAATACCCCGTATTAACGGCGATCTCAAAAACGCGATTGGGGTTTGGCTTATAAAAACCTACACGAGCGAAACGGCGAGGATGCGGACTTTCATCTTCATTGGGTGGTCGAAGACGGAGCTCTTCACCAAAAAATCTTCAACCCCAAGCAAAAGCTCGCCGAGGTCTACAACGGCGACTTCGACCTGCGGAGGCACAAACCAGCAGCATCCTGTATGATGCGCGTTTTAGACGATATCACTTTCGGGACGCGGAGCGAGAAGCTCATGAGGGGCCTGATGAACACGTCAGCGCCCACCGTCGCGAATATCAAATTTGCGAATATAGTCGTGTTCCCCCTCCCGACGGTCGTCGTCTTCTGTCAGAATTTCACGGACACTAAGTGGCTTGTGGAGAACAGCACGTTCTTCCCGTTGAGTCTATGGTAATATATATTCAACAGTGAGTTTCTTGGGTGAGGAATTCCTTCGCAGATCAGATGCCAGGTATATGACAAGAAGATGCAACTTCATCTCCTGAACGATGCGGAGTTGATGGGTTTGGCGACTTTCGGGGTCTTTAGCTCACAGATAGCGGAATTCGACCTCGCCAATCCTAACGTTATATTCTGGATTTATATCTGAGTTGCGCAAGCTACCACAATTTGTTAATCAAGTGTCTTAAGTGCCTCAACAAAACATTAGTACGGAAGAATATGAAGAAAAAAATGAAAGTGTTCAATGTGAACATGCAAATATATTTGAATATAGTGATAAAAGAGCTTGACAAACACCACGATAATTTGATGGGTATCAAACGAATTCATAGAAGTACAGGGAGAATAAAAAACCGCTTCCTATCGATTTAATAGTTATAACTAATAACATTATAATAAAAAGTATAATACAAATTACCACCCAGGACAGAAAAAGTCTCCACGAGGCATATTCAGCCTTCATGGTAAACAGTACTATACATTTTATTATATTAATACCATTTAATTCTATAAAATCAAGGGGAAGCGGTTAAAAAGACGGAAGCGGTTTTTTAGCCCCCTGTACGTGTGATGCAACTTGTTTTTATTAATGAATCTTATTATTTTTAATTTTTATTTCAAATTTAATATATTTTCTTATCATTTAACATGTTTACACGTTCAAATAATCATTCAAACAAAAAAAGTGTTTATGTTTACTTTTTCAAACTTGAAGTAAATTTATGTTATTTTTTGAATTTGGGCACCATTTAAAATATTTTATTAATTTACCATTTACTATTACTATTATATTATTATATTATTACATTACTAAGTGAACAATGATATTTAATTTATATAAAAATTAACTATAATAAACTAATAAACACTTAACACGATGAGAACGAGTGAAAACACCCATGATATCACTCGAATCATCAATTCGTGTATTATTATATTTACAGTTATAAGTGTCATATCTGCTGTCTTTATTTTTGAAGTAGTGATTTTTCCACAGTTTCATTATAGTGTGATACAATGTACCTTTCATTATTTCATACACTTTTACTTGGTCTATAGTTTACTCTATTTCTACTTCAAAGCCGTGTTTTCAACACCATCAGTGCAGCCTGAGTTATTCAACAGACTTTTTCCAGATTATTTGAAAGAGTGTGGGGATAGATATTGTGACATATGTAAGGCTAATAAACCTTTGAGGACACACCATTGTAATACTTGCAAACAATGTATTGGTAGATATGATCACCATTGTCTTCTTATTTGTAATTGTATTGGGGACAATACAATGAGACTCTTCTTCAATACTATATTATACTTCTTTATTGGGTCTTTGTATATTATAGGAATGTTAACTGTTCTTTATTATAAGACCAATTTCGTTTGTTCTCTTTTATTATTTAAACTATAATAATATAGTTTTTTATTATTATAATTAGTTTGTATTATTAATTATTAATTATTAATTATATTAATTATATTAATTATATTAATTATTACCAAGTTAAGTAACTCGATAACGAATAGACCGACTTTGAATTTATAACAATTGGATGCATCTGCTGTCTGTTTGGGATAGCAATAGCTATTGTTATTGCTATGGGATGCTATCTTGCATTTTACATCTTTTTGATCAATGACAATCAAACGACTGTTGAGGTTCTCGCTGAAATTTCAAACAAACAAAGAGTTTTGGATTATAATCGAGGACTCTACAATAACTGGAAGGAAGTTATGTTACTCAATTTGGACTATCCTTTTATTGTAGCTTTTCTCCCCATCGATCTGTCTCGTTTTGTGAAAAATAACAAAATATATTAATTTTTTTTGTTAAACATAACATTTTTATAACATTATTTCGTACTCAAAAACAAAGAAATTAAACAGATTTTTTTTTAGAATAAATTTCTTTAAATATGACAAAAGTAAAAATTATTATTTTTAAATTATTAATATTATAATATAATAAGATATAATTTAAATAAAGTGGCTTTCTATTACAAAACAATTTACTGGCTTTTTTATTCAAAAATAAAAAAATTATTATAATAAATAATTAAATAATGATAATGTTATATAATAATATCTTCAACTACTTATTGATCTTTATTAGAATAACTATTATTTTAATAAATATGATTTAGTTTTTTAATTAATTATCAACTAAAAATAAATAGATTAAAATTTATTACTTTTTTAAAATAAAAATCTTTCATTTTTGAAAAGTATATGAAAACATCATTTTTTTTGTTTTTCAAAATTTTCAGGTAAAAAAAAAGTTTAGTAAAATTGACACAATTAGGGAGATTTCCAGACATTTTGGACTTTGTCTTGAGTAACAAATCAAAACACAAAAACAGAGAAAGTGAATGTCGATCTCAGTGGTGTGTGCGGAAAGAGAACACACTTGGGGTATTTAAAGTGGAACGATTTTGTTTAGACATACATGTCAAACCAAAAGACACAACCACCGACCGAGAAACTTGACACCTCTGTCAAGTCTGATGAGGCACAAGAATTTCCTTCATTATTACCAGACGAACACCAAACAACAGAAGAATGTTGTAAAGGTGATTGTAAAGGAGATACAAGTGCTCCCGCCAAAAAGCTTGAACAAGCTCCTGTTATTGAAATCATAGATGGCAATAAGTACCAGGCGTACCGAGAGAAGATGAAATTATTTGGGATCTTTGTATGTATCAATGTGATCTTTGTAGTCTTTGTGCAATGCGCTTCGTCAATTGCAGTGCAAATTGTATTCTTGTGCTACATCATCTTCTCTGCTCTCCCAAAGTTTATCTTCGGAAGTTTACTCCAGAAATGCAAACCACATGTCCGAGCACCACCAGTCACCAAAGACAAACCAGACGAAGAAGAAGGAGAAAGAACGTGGCACATCTCAAGTGAAATGTTTAAGTGCCCTTCTTGTGGTGGACAATGTGACGGTCAAAACTTTTGTACGGAGTGTGGTCAGAGCATCGAAAATGAACATCCAATTTTGTTGTCCGTGTGTTTGACCGTGCACCATGAAGACGCAGAAGGAATTGATGGGGGTATTCGATCGTTTGAGGTCTCGGTGTTGCCTTTTGAGCCAAAATACTGTCAACTGATTTTCATTATTGATGGAAGAAGAGACAGAAATATGCAGGTCGACTACCAACAACTTGAAACTGCAACTTTCATTATCTCAAGACTGTCGAACTGCAACAGAAACGATTTGTACTCGGACGACGACGGCGTCGTCAGGTTTAAGAACGGAAAAGGCGACCCACAGATATTGGAGGATGGCATGGCAAAATATGAAGGTACGTTTGAGTCTGGGATGATTTGGATCATTTTGTTGAAGAAGAAAAACGGAGGAAAGAGACACTCGCACGAAATCTTCTTTGATTACATGGATAAAGGAATCACTCGAAAAACAGCAAAAGCGATTATGTTCGTCGATAGTGACGTGGAATTTGCATGGGAAGGAAATGAGTATGGACTTATGAATATGTACAATGGACTTCTCAAGAGAGAGTGTATTGGTGGTGTTTGTGGTGAGATTGAGGTGAGTCATTGGTATCAAAATCCGTTGACAATGTGCCAATATTTTGAGTACAAATCAAACCAGTTCCTTGCAAAGACGTTTGAAAATTGGTTTGGAATGGTGACATGTCTTCCTGGTGCATTCTCCATGATTAGGCCGCAGGCTATGGAAACTGTGTTGAACGAGTATTTAGCAACGTCGTTTTCGATTTGGGAAAAGAACCAACTCGACTTGGGTGAAGACAGAACTTTGACGACTTTGTTGATTGAAGCTGGGTGGGATACAGGGTACATAACAAAATCGGTTGCACACACTGATGCCCCCATCAGCTTGGTTGGTCTGATTAAACAGAGAAGACGGTGGATCAACTCAACAATAGTGAATATGGGTTTGTTGTTGAAAAGGGTGAGAAGACCCGTTGTTCTTCCATTGCTCATTTCACTTGCCATTGAATTGCTTTCTTCTTTCATGTTGCCGAGTGGCATTGTGATGCTTTTTATACAAATCTTTTCAGAGTGTGGCGTGACAAAATCAATCGTCATTGGGCTTCTCGTTCTCTGGACCGCGTTGCTCATTACCTTCAGTCTGACGTCAAAGCTGGAAGACATGGAATATTGGTTCCAAGCATCCACCATCATTGGAGGGTTTCTTGTATTTTTAATGATATTGGGTGTCGTTCAAAACTTTGCTGGGTTCTTCGACAAGCATTGGATGGAATTGGTGACAATGTTGTCGTGGGTGTTTATCATCGTATTCGCTGCAGTTATCCATGGTCAGTGGTTCTCCGTTTTGAATGTAATTGCCCCTGTTGTCTGGTTTATGCTCACACCGACGATGTATGTCATCATTCCAATTTACGCCGTCTGCAACTTTGATGATGTCAGTTGGGGGACTCGTGGTGGTGTATAAGAGTAGTTAAAGTATTTAAATTGAATTTGAATCGCATTTTTAGTTATTTTATCACTTAAATAGTATCATTACAATTAAATTAATCAAACTAGTTAAATAAACTATAAAATCAATTATAAAAAAAGAACTCACAAATTTCATAAATTGATGGAAAGTGGAGTGCTTGACAAGTTTGAGCAAGACGTCCAGCAGAATCATCAGTCGTTCAAATCGTGGTGGGGGTATATAGATTTATTTGATGACACGCATTTCCAAGAGAAGCGGATGATATACGTTCGTGCCTTGAAGTTTGTTTTTGTACTATACTTAATAGAAAAATGTGTTATATAAAATGGTAGTAATGATTAGAGAACTTCCCATGAGTTACAAATTATGGCACACCTTTCTCCTATCCTCCGAGCGTGATGCACGGGGCACCCCTCTTGAAAGTCCGACTCGTCTAGAATTAACTCAAAGATACGAGGAGAGTGTAGTTTACATGTCGAAGATGCCAACAATCTGGAAGAATTACATTGAGTGGTTATACACCAATTGTGAGATCACTCAAATGCGGCGAGTCTTTGATCGAGCCCTTCGGTCATTACCAAGTGGTCAGCATAAGATTCTATGGGGTGTTATAATGAAGTACATTGTCTCTTTAGATTCCCCAAAGCTCTTTAATAATATGGTTACCCGTCATCTGAAATATGACCGGAGCTTGTCGGTTGAATATGTCAAAGTTTGTATAGAAAAGGGATCTCTGTATTTGCCGACAGCGGCTTCGATATTAATCAAACACTTAGGAAGCACTTGGAGAGTCCGAAGAGAAGAATATGAATTGTTAGTCCAAGTGATTGAGAATGGCGGAGCTGATGACGTTGTTGATGTTGAAAGTGTTTTACGCCATGGCATCAACGAATATATCAATGACTCGGGAAGACTGTGGGTTGGGCTTGCACGATGGCACATCCGGCAAGGGCGAGTTGAGAGTGGCATAGTTGTATTAGAACAAGCGATGGAAGAAGTAGTGAGTGTGCGAGATCTTTATATAGTACGTGAATGTTATGAAGCGGTGATATCGAGTCTCTCACAAAATTCGAATGACACCGACAAAGATGATAATCAACGTATCGTACACGAGAGAGGGGAGACTGTTTTGGCACATGTGATGATGCAAGTCAATGGAGTTTTATTAAGGAAAAATCCTGAAGATGTTAGTGAATGGATATCGAGGAGTCATATGTACATTGAACAAGGCGATGTTGTCAGTGCAGTGGATACATTATTAGAAGGAATTAAAACAGTGAAAGAAGGAATTAATGGCACAAAGAGTGACATATATAGTGAACTAATTTCATGGTATAGTAGGGCTGGTAAATACGAAGTAGTCAATTCTTTATATAATAAAGCTAAAACGGAGTCCCTGAGTCAAGAAGAAGAAGGGAAGTTATCAGAATTGATAGTGAAAGACTCAGTGAAGAGAGGAGATGTGACAAAAGCACTTGAATACGTTGAAGAAGCGACGTTGAAAAGTAGTCGTATAAAACGGGAAGGGAGTGTGTGGAGAGCATACCTCGCTGTTGAAAAAACACGGAAAGGACTTTTGGGGATAGTTTCAGTATATGAGAAGATGATAGAAATTGGGTGTATTACAGCTAGAGAAGTCTTGGAATATATTGACCTTATTACTAAAGAAGGTAAAGCGTTGGGAATTGAAGACACTGTGTGGAGCATTTACGAGCGAAGTATCTTGAAATTCACATATCCGATTGCCGGGAAATTGTGGATGAAATACTTTGACGACTTTGTATCGAAATATGGAGAGACGAAAGTGGAGAGGTGTCGTGAGTTGTATGAGTCGGCTCTTTTGAAATGTCCGGCCGAGTTCAAGTTAGAAATTAGTAAGAAGGCCGTTGCATTTGAATCGACGAAAAACTCGAGTTATCGTGTCATAGAGTTATATAAGAAAATAGTGAAAGAAGTGAATCCCGAGTCGTTGTGTGAAACATATCTTTTATATGGACAAGCAGTGAATGAATTAGAAGGGAGTCAAAGTGCACAAAAAGTGTATGAAGAAGGAGTTTTAAAAGTTGGAAGGAGAGAGGAGTGGAGACTGTACTTGGAATGTGCAAAGTGTTTGATTGAAAATGAAGACGTTGACAATGCAAGAGATATGTTTGTGAAAGGGGCGAAGAGGTGTAGTGTGAAAGAACATCCGGAATTCTGGAATACTTGGAATGACTTCGAGGAACAATTTGGAAATGAACTCACGTATAAAGACCTTCTTGTTGCAAAGGCAGATGTGATGGGATACTTCGGTGAAAATTGAACTTGATTGGTGTATTTTGGTAAAACAATATTTAACTTAATATAATAATATAATAATTTTATATTAGTAAATAGTGATATATCAATATATATAGTATTATCCTAATATAATTAATTTTGATGCAAAAATACAAATTATTTATACAAATAGTAAAGACGTCAAAAAATTTAAAATTAAAAAAAAATCGTCAAAGGAAATGTATTTAATAGTATTAATAATAGTTTTTTATTATTTTATTTTACAATAAAGATTTTTTTAAAGTAAAAAAAAGTAAAAATAAATTCCAATCATTCAATCTGTTTGAAATACAAAAAATGATTATATTAACAATTCTATTGTAATGTTTCGGGTTTTTTATCATGAAAAAGTTTTTATTTTCCAGAAAATAATAAACAATAAATTAAATGAATATTAAAACTTACTATAATGCTACAATAATGTAATTTAGTTTATGGTATTTTTCGATAGTTTGTTGATAATTTTTAAGTTAAATAGCAAATAAAGTTTAAGTTAAAAAAAAATTTAAAAAGGTTTGATAAAGTAAAAAAATTATTAGAACTAAATATTAAATAAACAAAACAGGTCAAACTAGTAAATATGACAAATTTTTGTTTTACAAACAGTTATTTACAATTCATTTATAAATAAATAATAGTATAATTCTTTCTTTAAGTTATTATTTTCGTTTTTCTGTTGATAATTTTATAAAACATGGCTCTGTATTTATAGAATTTAATTTATTATTTACCTTAATTGTAAGCTTTTACAAAAAAACTTCATTGGCATTGATGGTATTATTTAGATATAATTGAATATGAAAAATGGTAATTATAATTTGTAATATGTGTTTTATTTTTGCAATAAGCAAAAAAAATCATATGTTAACCATTTAAACTAAAAAACCCCAAAAAAGTAACCAACGAAATAAATCGAACAATTAAATTCCACACAGTTCGAAATAAACAAAAAGTATTTTTTTATCACTGACGAGTATAAAAACATCTCAAAAACTTTGACGTACGCCATGACAAAGTGTGTTGAGCGCCGGAGACGAGTAGAGATGCACAGTGACGATCTCCCGCCAATCACGTTTGTGAGCACAAAGCCGACGAAGCGGCCGATGGTGCAGTCAATGAGTGACGAGAATGTCTTTTGGGTGACTGTTTCAAACTCGCAACGTCTTCTGATGAAAGTTGATGACAGTCTCATCACACAAGAAAATGATGCACTTCCACCAATCACAATGGCAATCCCACAAAAAGTCCCACAATCGCCACCACCACACCAACAAAAAGAAAAGCCAATTCAAATCGTCCAACAAGAACGACCAGCTTATCACACACTCATGAAACTAAAACTCCCAAAATCTCTTGCTGAAAAGAACGCCGCTAAAAGGAAAGAAGTGCTCTTTGCACTCAGAGAGCTCCAACTTGCTGCAATCGGAAAATAGTCGTGTATCTTTTTGTATTCATCGTTTGACGTATTCATTTCTAGTTCTTTTCGAGTTCCTTTCATTTTGATTAGTAAAAATTTTTTGGATTTTTTTTCAACTAGAAAAAAGTTTGAGGGTTTATATCTAATGTTATTTTTGAATGGGAATAATCCCGAATGATTGGTGATTTTCTCGTTTGTTGTTTTAATGTAATTTTCCCGATATAATAGAAAAGAATTAAAGAAAGATTTAATGTCTCATAAAAACATACTTCAACTAAAAATTATCGCAATTTGAAGATCAAAGAAATCAAAGAAAAAAGACGGAAAATCCATAATTTTAATTGCATGGATCGGGTCTATTGGGAGAAACTGTTTTAGAAGCACAAAACCCTGGAGGAAGAGTAAAAATATAATGAGGGAAAACTGTCGCAAAAAATGGACCTAAGCCGCAAAGCAAAAGAATGTCGAGGAGTGGAGACTTGGAGCTTATAAATCGCTTTGATAAACTACAAAAACAGCCTGCTCCGTTCTGTAGATGTCTTGTGGCGAGAGGCGAGTCTTCAGTGGAAAGCCGAACAAGGACGAACTTCCTCCAATTACTTCACTCTCAACAAAGCCGACAGCACACCGCGAATATAATGTGTTTTACTTGACGACTTCGAGCTCACAACGTCTCTTACTGAAAGTCGACGACTCTCCTGAACTCCCTCGTAAGCACATCGACCATGACCACAATGCGACACAACCAGCACCACACTCAAAGTCTGAGAAACAACAAATTGTTCAACAAGAACGACCAGCTTACCACACACTCATGAAACTGAAACTCCCCCAGTACCCAATCAAAACCACTGCGACAAAAAGGAAGGAAGCACTCTTTGCATTGCGAGAAATGCAACTCGCTGCTCTAAAAACGGCTCGCACAGAACAGGTTTCTACTCACGAGAAGTAGTTACAGATACGATTTGGTTTACATCAATTGTAAGTTGTTTGTTGACTTCTGGTTCTTGAGCTACTACTCCTGGTCATGAACGGTCACGACTTATAACAAGTAAAGAATAAATTAGAGATTTCATGTAACAAGTGGAATAATAATAAACAGTGCCTTTGTGTCACTGTTTGTTTTCAACCACAATGGATGAGACATCGCTCCCCTCAACCTCCATTCCCATTATACTCTCGTCTTGTATTGTTGGTTGTTTCTTCAGTATATTTTTGTATGTTAAAAGTAGCCTTATCTGATAACTCGTTTTGTCATTGTCAATCTCGCTTGTCATTTTATTTATTTCAGTTTTTTCCGTCTTGCGTTTTCCTGAGTATACCTCAACCATTTCTTCAAAGTTTATTTTCTCCTTGATGACGCTTTCTGTTTTCTCTTTCGAAAAGTGTGGTTTGATGCATGAGACTAACCTTTGAGATTGTACAGATTGACTGAGGGGGGTTTGTGGATAAAAGTCATGACTTTCAATCTCCTCAGTTGCAAAATCTTGAGATTGAACTGATGGCGCAAATTGACTAAAAACGGGCGTTTTGGCTTCGTCTGAATCTTTTGGTATAAATTTATCACAAAACTCGTCATTAATCACAATCTCGCTCTGAGATTGTGGCGGTGGAACAACACGTGTTTTAAGCGTTAGATTTGGACAGGTATCATCATCGCTAACGTCTTCCTTACGGCGTTGGGGAAGGTCTGTAGAACTGTCAATAAAGATGTAGGAATCAAGGATGTTGGTTTGGATTTGTTCCTCATTAATAGGAACATCTTTGGTTTCAAAAGTACTTTGGTTCCTTTGCTCGAGCGCACCAAATACGCTTGATATACTTTCGTGCAAATGCTTGCGCGAGTTCTCTTTTCGTAAAAATCGTGTGTCTGGACGTTGGAATTCTGGGGTTTTCTCTTCATCACCGTTTTTAGTGTGGTTGCTATTGTGAAATACGCCTTGACTTTTTGGTTTCATGTCTTTTGAAATAAAGTAGTTTTTTTCCAAAACCCACCCAAGTTATATTACATTATAGTAATAATATGAATTATATTAATGAAAATCACAATTTCTATAACAAATTATTTTTTACCAAAATTTTTATTTGAAAGGAACTCGAAAAGAACTAGAAATGAATACGTCAAACGATGAATACAAAAAGATACACGACTATTTTCCGATTGCAGCAAGTTGGAGCTCTCTGAGTGCAAAGAGCACTTCTTTCCTTTTAGCGGCGTTCTTTTCAGCAAGAGATTTTGGGAGTTTTAGTTTCATGAGTGTGTGATAAGCTGGTCGTTCTTGTTGGACGATTTGAATTGGCTTTTCTTTTTGTTGGTGTGGTGGTGGCGATTGTGGGACTTTTTGTGGGATTGCCATTGTGATTGGTGGAAGTGCATCATTTTCTTGTGTGATGAGACTGTCATCAACTTTCATCAGAAGACGTTGCGAGTTTGAAACAGTCACCCAAAAGACATTCTCGTCACTCATTGACTGCACCATCGGCCGCTTCGTCGGCTTTGTGCTCACAAACGTGATTGGCGGGAGATCGTCACTGTGCATCTCTACTCGTCTCCGGCGCTCAACACAGTTCATCTGAATTGAAATAAAAATATAGATGCCTTTAAATACTAATTTTTCATCGTTTTTGTCTCGTTGATTTGAAAAAAAAACGGAAGTCAAAATCTTTATTTATGTTCAATAATATAGCCAATCAAAATATGGATTGCGTAGGAATGGAGTGTTCGATTGTCTCTGTAAAAAGTAAAAAAGCACGAATAAGTTTTACGGCTTCCCATTACTCCATTTTATCCCCATTACTTTATTACAACAGTGGAGAGGAATTCACAACTTTTCTTTTTATCGACTTAATAAGAACAAGGGTTTATTGGATGGTTGGTTGGAAGAAAAAGAGCACTTTTGGGATTCAAAGTGAAATTAGAAATATGAACGAAAAATACCGAGGGTTTTGTTTCAATAATTCAATAAAATAATCATTATACACCTCTTTTCGATTTTGCTTGTTGCAACTGTTAAAAAACAATTATTCAGGCAATATCTTTATTTAATAATTAAATACTATTATAAATACCATAATATATTATATCATACTATAATAGTATAATAATTAGAGTAAAAAAACTCTAAATGCATTTTTTTATTTTTTATACGACAAAACTAACGGACTTTAACTTATCTTTTCCAAAAAATTAAGTAGTTTTCGATCTCAATATAAGAACTAAAAATATTGGTTACACAATTGAATCGATGACATATTTACCCTAAAAAACCCGAATAGTAACAGATCTTTATTTTCTGTTCAAAAAACTTATTTGTATGATTTCGATCTTTTCGATTATGACAAAATATTTTTGAATTTGTTATAACCATTTACATGATATTTTATTACAAATATATTACCAGTTCCATACTATTGCCGATTCTCTCCTTGATGACGTTTTTTTATAATTCGAAATTTCAGAACAATCGAACTTTTAAATACAAAAATTTTCAATACAAAATTTGACGCATTGCCCTGATCTTAAAAATCCAACAGAATATTAAGATTACTCAAGTTTATCCGCCCCACTGACTTTCTTACCTTTATTCAAAACCTTAGCGATTCTTGTTCCGAACTGGATGGCCGTCTTCTTGAAGTTAGCGCACTGCACCATTCCGTTTTTCCTTGCGACCTCTCTTAAGATCCACTTATTGCCTTCGTTTTCGGGCAACTCGAGTTTGACAAGTAATTTCTCTGGGATGTTTCTGATGACACGAACCACTTGGTTTTCAAGAAATGGGTACAAACATTTCACTTTACAGTACTTTGACACTCGATCATCTCTTTCAGTGTTTCTACTCCACAACCTACAGAAGTCCAACTCAAGTTCTTGACTCAACCGATTGTACTTTAAAGCATTCCGATGACGACCATATCCTCCAAGTTGCTCGTCAGCTCCTTGACCACAAAAGACATATGGAGATGTCCGTCGAACGGTATGAGTCCCACAAAGACCTTCAGATATCAACGCCAGTGTCGTCGCAGTAGTTATTGATAAATCCATTACTGTGTCGTTGGGGTATATAACATTTTTGATGTTTTCGCTTGTCTGGAGAATGACGTCTTCGCTCGCATTGATCTCGATAAACTCAAAATTCTTCGTTGGAAAAATCTTTTTGAGATCCGACAATACAGCACGCGCACACAATCGGTCCGGACTTTCAAACGTTCCTTCATAGAGGCACGCCATGTTGTATAACTCCACTTTCTTCTCTCCACAATGCAGTAAGACGTAATAAGCTATCATTGAACTATCAATACCTCCACTAAATAACACGGGAATAGTCTCTCCGGATGTCCTCAACATCATCTCAACTGCTTTTGAAAGCGACTCGTCAAGAAGCTTCACACACTCGCTGACCTCCTCCGTCGGCAAATCAAGTCGTTCACCAAATATTGAGGAATAGTATTCCTCAATAGTATTACCGGCCTTCTTGTGCTTCAAAACAGTTTTGTCCGTGTAAAAGTATTCGTACCATTCATTTGGGGCAGATGACTCCTTGCACATGAACGTCGAGATGCAGACGCCATTCTCATTCGTTTCATAAAGTAACGAATTCGATCCAAATCTGTCAGTCGCAAACTTGATTGAGTCCCCAACAGTGACTTGTAAATACTCCCTCTCCTTCGCGTCAACCTCTTTAATCTCTGAAAACTCAAAAACCGTGTTGAGTGTTCCTAAAGTGTCTTTGGAAAAAAGAAACCCTGTAGTAAACCCTATTTTGACTTGATGAGGTGCAATTTGAAGTAGAAGTTCTGTGAGAGGTGCCTTCAACATAGATTTGATAGTGTTGTAGTGTGTGTATTGCTGAGTTGAATCGATTTGGATAACGAAACCCTCCATAGTGTATTTGATATGTATTTTTGAGATAAAAAGTCTGTGTTTTTAGAGAGAAAGACTCAAAGTAGACGAGTAGTAGCAAATAGTATAAAATTATAATAAAAAGTTACTAACGAATAGAATTGCGATATCGACTCAATTACTGACCTTTAGCGTCCTTTCTTGCCTTTCTTTTTCTTCTTCCAAGCTTCTCAGGGTTAGTGAGAGGAGTGTTAGGAGCGAGTTGTACGAGTGGCTCTGAAGAAACTCTGACCATGAAGGAAGGGACGTCGACGATTTGTTTACCGACGGAGATGAGTTTTGAACGAATCAAGACGCGAGCGTGGTGAATTGATTTAGCAAAGCCTTTTCTGAAGACGATTGTCTGAAGTCTTCGTTCAAGTAAGTTCTCTTCTTTCAAAGCTAAGACGAACTCAAGCTTAGTTTGATCTTTTGGTAATATCCCGAGGTTGTGAAGTCTTCTGAGTAAAGCGTTACCTTCCAAGATTCTTTTTGGGTCGGTGGCGGATTTCATTAACATCACCTTAGCAATAGTTCTCATGTGGCCCAACATAAAGTGAACACGTTGAATCTCACGTTTGCATTTTAATCCAAACTGTCCGGCTAATTTCAATTCGGCATCAAATCTGGTACGGTCAAAGGGGACCTTTGGAGTCTTGTATACAACACTGTGATTACGGAGGCAACGGCCCATCTCTCTCGCAAATCATTTTACAGTTACTCTTCTGGTAGGGTTCATCCAGTTCTCTGTTCTATTGATTTTAGTTGTTTTACTAGTTTTATTTGGTTTCTGAACTGTTCGTTAATTTGTTTTGCTCAACATTTTTGACTGCAATTATTGTAAATAATATTAGTTGGTTGCATTACTGTTATATTTATTATTAATATATTAATTTAATTTTATATTTTATATTATAAGTCTATTCGTTTTTATTTATTAATAATATATTTTTTTTTGTTTATTAATATCAAATTAACTATATTATTATAGTTATTATTTTACAAGCTTACTTATTAAAACTATAGTTTATTTTTAAAATAGAATAAATATTTTATAATATTATTTATTAATTAAGTAATTAAATTAAATAATAAATAACAGTTCTATTTTATCTCAAATAATAATAATAATAATACATAATCATTTTATTTTATTTTGAAAAGTTTCATTCTGCCATTTTGGATTTGTCAAAATGAAATTAATAAAAAAATATCAAAGTAAAAAGGTAACTATAAAATTTAAATTTGTTTTTTATTGTTTTTTAGTTTTAAAATTTTAAGTGATCAAAATGTATTGAGTATTTTTAATTTGTCCTGAAACACCAATTATATTTTTAATATTATACATTATTATAAATATTATTATAAATATTTTATAATATTATAAATTTCTGAATTATAAATTTTCAATTTATTTTTTGTAGTTTCAAATAGACAACACAATACGTCCATTTCTCCCAAAATTTCAGGTTATTTTACTTTATTTTTGAATTCCCGTCACAATCAAACAAGAATTACTAGTAAAAATATAGTAACAATACCATATTAAACTAGTAGATAGATGCAAGGAACCAAATCTTAGAAAACAAACCAAAATGAGAGAACCATCGATGGAATAAGATTTGATGGTTCATCTGAACTTAATAAAACAAACCACCACAATGGCCGAAGAGCCTGTCGCTATAGATGTTGAGTCCAAGCCTCTCCGCATTCTTACGTATAACATGTACCTCCGTCCGATGTTAGTATCTGCCGCTGGCCACGATCATAAGGACAGTCGCTTGCGAGTCTTTTGTAATGATCGACTTCAAGACTTTGATGTGGTATGTTTCCAAGAAGTCTTTAAGGAACTTAACTGGCGACGAGAGAAGTTACTTAAAAAGGCCAAGAAAGCCGGGTTTAAGTGGAGGATCCAAACGGAGAAGCCGTTGTTTCCGCTGTTTTTAGTCGATGCCGGACTTGTCATTATATCACGATTCCCAATAGTCGAAAAGGACTTCAGAATGTACACACGAGGGATATACGCAGACGCAGTTGCGTCGAAAGGTGTACTCTACGCGAAAATCGAAGTGCAACCGAATCGATACATTCACGTCTTTGATACACACACACAAGCAGACTATACATTGGATTTGGAAAAGGCTAAACCATCGAGAGAGAGAAGAATGGTCCATGTGAAGGAATACGCGGAGTTCGTTCAAGAGAAGACTACAGGGAACAACTACCCGGCGATATGCTGCGGTGATTTTAATGTGAATGGAAGAGCAGGGACTGATGGGACCACGGAGAGCGTCGAGTATAAAGAATTCTTACAAACATTTGTCGTACCGAACGGAGAACTCATCGACTTGTTACTTAGAGACAACCACGGAGTACAACCAGTCACGTTCGGTGACTCGTTTGTCGACGCGTCGGGGACGGAAACACCGTTTGATACGGAAATCACCTACGAAGAACAGTGCATGGATAAGTCACGGCTGGACTATATCTTCCAATTGAAGAGAGAGGGAGAAGAACCACAACTGACATGCAAGAACTGCAGAGTCGATAAGTTCCCAGTGAAGGGGAGAAAGTTCCCGTTTATGAGTGACCACTTTGGAGTCACGGTGGATGTGTACCTTTAAGTATATATTTTGTTTAAGAATGGTTAAGGTGTTGAATATAAGTATAGTTACTATTATTTATAAATAAATAAAACACACAAGTGTTTTGATAGTCAAAAGATTCTATTCAATTCTTATTCATTGATTTAATATAACAACTTTTCTAGATAAAATAATATAATATAATTATATTTAGAATATACTATTAATATACTATTATAATAACACAAAGTATTTCAAAGAAATTCAACACATTTGTTTACACTCAATTCATAATAATTAATAACACGTTATTTCATCGAGTCGGCAGGAATCATTAACTCCTTTTGTACTTGAAGTCTATCCTTTCTCTCAAGGTAATAGACATAAGCTTGTGTGGCACCACACCCAATTAATCCAAGTATTATAAAAACAAAACAGGTGTATATACACCACCCAAGACTTATATAAGTTGATAATAAACCAGCGAGAAGTGGAGCTAAACTGTACGACAAACAGGAAGAACACTCAGATATCCCCATGTACTTCCCTTTCTCGGACTCAGATGCATTCAACGAGTAAAACATGTTCAACAAGAAATCATATCCAGAAATAAACCCAATAACAAAAGAAGCGATAGCCAACACATACCCGTTCTTCATGAAATAAAAAACAGCTACACACCCAAGAAGAACTACAAAGGAAATCATATTCAAATACAATTTGTATTGCCAAATTGTCATTCTCCCTAAGACAACAAACGCACTTAACTGAGCAATATTCACCACAAATAGTAAAATACCTACAAGCACATCAGAGTCTTCTATAATACCTGGAAGAGTCACATTAGTTCGTTTAGCATAATTAATATATTGATTGGAAATAACTCCAACAATGGCAGTGACAAAGCAGTGGAAGACAATAGAGTTGATGTAATACCAGAAGTAATGGATGGGTCTTTTCGACATGACTTGTGTGTGTTTGATTTCACTCAAATCAATGTGTGTGTTATCTTCAGAGATTCGTGGTGTTTGTGATTCACTTAAAATGACACCATCTTGATGTTCAGTATTACTTTGTAGAGTCTTAGGATCACCATTCATTGGGATTTCAGTTGTATACTCCCTTTCCTTCTTCTCGATTTGTGGAAGAGCCTCCAACTCAATGTTAATTTCAGGCACCGTCTCCTCCTTCAAGTGATTGTTTTGTGGGAAGAGCGTCATCGCAAAGAATGTCACAAAAGCTTCAGCGCATGCAACATATAAACTGTAAGTCTGTCCAATAAGAGCACTCAAAGTTCCAGCAAGTAAAAATCCAACAGCTTTGCCACAAGCAAAAGACATAGAAAACATTGAAATGTTTTTACTCTCGCCGCCCGCATAACTTTCATTGCCTACTAATGCTTCTGACGGTGACCAGAACATAGCTAGACCAAGACTTTGAATCAAACATATGAAGTAGATTGGTATAGTCTTAGTCTCTGTTATATAGACCATAGCTACTATTAAACAAGTCAAACAATGTAAACAAGCTCCAAAGCGCGCCATACTCTCAGGCGGTAATTTATCAGCTAGCCGCCCACATACAGGAGCCATAAATCCTTGTGCACCAAACCCAACTGCTCCAACTAATCCAATTTCTAAAGGTGAAGCCCCTAAGTTACGCATCATAATGGGGACTATCAACCAAAAGAAGTAGACGGAGAAGTTAAGACAGAACGCAGAAACACAGTACGTCGTCAGGTTATAGGAGTGAACCACCTTTTTCTTCAAGTCGGCGTGCAAATTGAAAGCCCACATCGTCTGTTTTTCTTTGTTTTGTGATGTCTTTTATACGACCTTTTTTAACATATTTTGGTGTTCTTGGTATACTTCTCTGATTCTTTTACTCTTCTATTTCTTAATAATTGTTTCTGACAATACTTATTTTTGGGTGGACTCGATAGCTATCCCTTTTTCCTTTAAATGGTGAAGACTTTTTCTTTTCCAGAAGAAAGACAAAAGACTTAATTCATGATTTGGTCATGTGCCGCCATTTCTGCACAACTCAACACGGAGTTATAAAGATGGTTTTTGTTCTCTTATTCTTATGTTTATGGAATATAGAATATCGTAATCAAAAAAGAAGTAGGGTTTCCTTTCCTCTTAAACATTTTTAATTGTGGTGAATCGTTTTCCTTTGTTTATACATATCAAAGACCCACTTTGTCCAGTAGAATCCAATTCGTATGAAAAGAAGTAGGGTTGTGATCCTTTTTGTGTGAATAATAGAGAAACAATCTCTTTCCCATTTCACTCGTTGACATAATATAAATATTAAGTAGTATTATACACTACTTGACAGACAAATCGAGCCGCTATACACCATTGATTGGTAACCAACCCAATCGCATTAGTTATATGTCTTTAACTAAATATAAACTATATACAAATTAATAAAAAGCTATACATTGAATTACAATATTTGTATGAGAGAGACAAGAAGTTGATCCCTTCTGTCGATGATTGGTTTGTCTACGACACAGCCGAAGACATCTTCGACAATGATGTTGTCGAGTTTAGGTATTTCCGTTGATATACTAAGCAAGTCCCACAAGAATCTGAGGACCAAATTTTTCTCCCAAGAGTCTGCCTTCTTTGTTATACCGTCGACGACTCGTTCACATCCCAAGACTCGTTGCGACAATTTTTGAATAGTCGTGAGCGTCATTTGTCGCGTTGCTTCATCGGCGAGCAGTGCATTGACGACAAAAATCAATTCGTGATGGAACGATATCAACGTGATGATAGACAGTGGCGGCGTGATGATGTTGTACTCGGGAGCTATCAATAAAACTGTCGCACAAGTCGCTTGAGTGTACATCAGTAACAAATAATCAGATCGCGCGCATTCGACGGTGAGTGTTCTTCGATAAATTTCATAGAGTTGTCGTGGGCGAAATTGGGCCAAACACGGCACAACAATTCGAATGTATTTCAATGGGTCTTTCAAAAAGAGTTTTTGGATATCATTTAGAAGATACTTCTTAGTAAAAGTGAAGACGTATTCCTCCAAATATGGTTTCGAGTGGGTGACATTCGAAGTGATAGAATTATCCAGTCCAAACGTCATATAACTTTTATGTGTGAGTAAACACGACACCACCAATTCGTTCTCTCCGCCTCTAAATAAATTCTCGATGAATTCCTCTTTGAGTTGTAAAGAGATAGGAAGTGTGTTTTGCATCGATACAAGTGCCTTCAATGCGCTTTGTGTCGAATTCACTGGGGGCGTTTGATTTTCCCACAACCGGTCCATTAAAATCTTTTTAAAATCGACGCCAAAGAGGACATGATTCGTTGGTATCATAGTAGTAAATCGGTCCAAAAACTGGTGATGTAAATACATTAAAATATCTCTTGGATGTCGTTTTGTTATATATAACATTAATTGCCCATTGAAGCATTCTTGTCGTGCCGTATCTCGAAGTGCCGGCAATCTTCTTTCAAAATAGTGTTGGACCTCCCAAAAGTCTTTGCTAGTGGTTGTTTGAACTAAACTAAGACTTGGCTGTGTTTTTGGTAGAAATTGACTCAAAACATCGACTTTCTGTGCATAGTCTTCAGGTAAAGACTCGTCAATCACTCTTTCCACATACATGTTATTCTTTTTATTTAAACAACTATATGATAGAGCTTCAATCAACCGCATTGGAAGACACATATTAAACGTCTCAAAGAGCGAATGGAAAAACGCAAAGGACAATTCTTTTTGTTTGCTCAGTTCCATTAGAGTACTTTCTATCCCTTCAAACTCTTTAAAGATCGGCGTCATCGATGGAGTTTCACCATGTAAAGCTCTTGCTATATCTGGACGTGTATTTTTCAGTTGTTCTTCTGCTACTTTGACTTTCAATAATGGACAGGAACACCTCGCTATCATTAAAGCGTCTTCGACATCCAAGTCTTCCACTCGATAAATAAACTCCGCTGTTAAGTCTTTGTCTGTTTTCACAAAGTTTTGCATAATAGCAGAGAAGTATAATGGAATGACTACTTCCCCTCGTAATTTTCTTAATACCCCATCCCCCTTTAATGAGTTCAAAAGGACATCAAAGCATATAGAAAACCCAATCAACATCTTTTGCAATTTCGTTATAAGACAAAGAGCTTTGTCACTGTTGGGGTAGTCCGCTATATCAAAGACTAAGTGCCCAAGTAACTCTAACCCACTCTCACCACTCTTTTGATGCGCTACTGCAGTCCCTTTGATGTCTATTGACTCTAAGTAGTTATCTATATATGACGGCGTATATTCAATCAACGTGGCAAATGTCTTTCGCGCAAATTTAATGACATACAAAAGTGTCAAGAAGTGGTCCGACATGCGGACTCCTTGAGTCACAAACTTCTTGATCTCCTCCATCATCATTATAATCTTTTCAAGTCCCCTTCGCTCAAGTAACAATTCCTCAGAACTTTCAATTGCTTGTTTCGTCGTCTTTTGTTTCATTGGCGATTTACTCAGTCGAATGGTGTCACTTTCACTGCTTTTCTCTCCTTTTCTCTCAACTTCTCCAATCCGTTCGACTTCAAGGGGTGGGAGAACTGCAAAATGGGTGATATATTGTGGTTTTGGTGACATTTTTGAGTACCTTTTCGTATCGTCTTCAACTCCAGTCATTAACATGGAATATAGTCCTTTGAAGTCTGAGGGTATATAGTCCTCCTCATTATCAACAGAGAACATTCCCTTAGTAGTTACAACAGGAATTCCAAACTTAATTCCAGCAAGTACTATAGAAAGGGCACATCTCGACACAACTGCCGATTCGACATTTCGTAATGCGTCGTTGTCTACCAATTTCATCACAGAAGAAGTCAACCCAGCAACATCAGCCCAGACTTCAATACACTTTTCAGGCACTTTAAAGTCGTGTACAGCATCCGCTTCAAGTGATAAGACATCTAATATTTCATAATCGGACTTTGTATATGGTTTCAGACCAAACCGAATGATCTCTCTGATCCCCAAGTGGATTGGTATTGGATGCTCATCAAGAAAGAGTCTGAACAAACTGAAGATTTCTTTCTCTGGTCGGATCCGGCGCATTAACACTGCAACTGCAAAGAAGGCTTCTTCACTCAATGAAATCACTGGATTATCAATTCCATCACTCCGTGCATTTATTACACACATCTCACGAGCAAGTAATTCAATAGGTAAAGTGTACTTATACGGTACAACAGACTCGGGGTGATGCACAGTCAACACCACTCGTATGATCTCTAATAAGTAATTGTAACACCGCTTCACCACTTTTGGCACTTCTTCACTATTTGGTGTTCTGCACAAGTACCGCAAACTTCTCACAAAGGCATGTAACCCACTGATTTGTATCAAAGGCGGCAACTTGTCGAAGGACTGCGACAATATGAAGGGAACTAGTGTCAACAAGTCAGAAGCAATAGACACTTCAAACTGCTGTAATGGGTTAGGTGAGCGTGGTATACAGCACTCAGACAAGAAGTGCGACTTTGTAGGGAGGGATGCACTTTGTATGATATATGAGAGTGCAATCGACTGTGACACTCGTAATACTCCAGTAGCTGTCAACGACGATGTCGCGTACTTATTAATAGATGCTGCAGTGTTTAGGCGATATAACACCTGTAACGTTGGTACCAATATTTGTGGAGCAACTTGTGCAGCGACTTCTCTAATGTGTGGGTTAATGTCAGACAAAAAGCAGTGGAACATGCGCAACACGAGCATCGGGAGTGACGCGTCATTGTTAATTTTGATCAACTGTAACAGTTCAAACAACTCCGATAATGGCAATTGTGCCAGACAAGTGATATACGTTTGTTTTGACAAGAGGTGGATGTGTAGGTTCAAAAGACAGGAACTTTTCTAAGTACGGCACAATAAAAGGATTATCAGTGACTCCTTGTGTTGCCAAAAATGTTATAATTTTAGTGAGAGCAATATATACTCCTTGGATTTGTCTTGAGCCTTCTGCTGAGTCGAAGAATGGTTGAATTGTTGTGTAGTTGACTCCAATGTACTTACGTATCCCTGTTAAGTACATCACTTCTTTCGAAGTCTTTCCAGACGATAGCATAGTCGATAAGAATATGATATATTCCTTCTTATCCTTTACTGTCTGCACATCACTCTGAATTTGAATCAAAAACTGTGCGAAGAGGTCTTTATCGAAATTCATGAAGAGGTCAACTCGATGTTCTAAATAAAGTACAGCAAGTTTAATACAACTATTTTTCGTTGGAATAAATTTGGTCGATAAAAAGACTTGTAAGATTTGTGCAAGTAAAATGACTAAATATGTATCATACAGTCTTCTATTGATCGAAAAGACATAAGGAAGATATTCAGAAAGAAAGTCCGTCGCACTCGCAACCACATTAATGTTATCACAACACATCCCAATCCACGCAGAAATATGAAACAAGATATAAAACTCGGGACTACACAATGAGAACTTATCGGTGTCTTCTATCGCCATTTCTTTCATAAACTGAATAACTCCATCAACATCAAGTTTGGAGTAAATCCCCATCTTCTTGATTAAATGAGAAAACACGTCGGAGTTCTCTATTATGTAACATATCCCTTTACAATACTCTTTCGACATAATAAATGCTAACTCGTCATTGGCCAACCCAAGTGGCTCGATTATAGGAAGTATGATGGACAACGTGTTGGTGTATCTTAAATTGCCATATCGAGAGACAACCATGAAATACTGCACTTTAGACGCTCTTTCTATGGAGCTTCTGCAAAAGCAAAGTCCACTAAATTTGACACTCGACATCAATTTGTTCATCCCCTCTATACTACACGTCAGACGATAAAACGTTTTTAAAAAGCCAGAAATGATCTGGAGAAGGGTCTCACCCTTCTCTGGTGTGTTCTCAAATAATATGATAATCTTCCTCCATAACATCAAAATTCCGGTATCCCCTTCAACTCGTGGGGTGTACCGTAATATCAATAAAAGCTCTTTGAAGCATATCGTCAACTTTTTAGTAATCGAAGCACTATAGTTGATTATCGAGTTGATCAGAGTTCCAATGAAAAAGTTACGCAACCAAATAATACGAGCGTGTTTGTCCTTTGCCGTGTCGACTTGAGACTTTTTAGAGAGGGAAGAGATGAAGTAAGAGATGACTCCATCGATATACGACGATATTGAAACAGTCGTCTGTTTGTCTGCCAAATTCAAAAGGTCTTCCAGTCGTGTTGAGGCTCGTGGAAACTCGAAAGCGAGAATGCTTCTATTTAGTACTCATAAGTAACAACACTGACTTTAAGAAAAGAAAATAATAACCAAACTGTAATCTAACGTTCTCACATTTACGCTTCAATGTGTCCAAATTCATTTTATCCTTCTCAGATGCCTCCATGTCGAATTATTAGTTCCTCCGTCTTTTTCTTACAAACAGTTCATTTCGATTTTTCAAATTAGTTTCTTTGTTAAAAAGTATGAAAAATCAGTAGAAGGACCTCTTGAAAAAAGAATAAAAATAAAAGTAATACTCACCAGCAAACTAAATATACAAGTCAATCAGATTTCATATCCAACGTGCACACTATCTCAGGTACATCAAACTCATTCGAAGACCGTTTCACTTGCCACGCTTCATACTGCTTTTGGACTATCTTAAACTCCTCAAAAGCCATGATCATCTTCTTCTCATCTAAATGCTTCTCTTTGGGAAGAGAGTCGATGATACTTTTAAGCATTTTCATACGGAGGTCGAGCGCCTGACTGACTTCCAAGTCCTGTGCTTGTGGATCATAGATGCTAGTCCCTAGATGTCACTTACTAGTTAATAAACTATAATACAAACTATAATACAAACTATAATACAAACTATAATTATATTATTAGAAGAACAAACTTCTGATTTGGTATTCTGCGAGGTCTGTGGCAGTGAACCTTGCTGATATGATATGAGACTGTTTAACGAAGAGCGTTCTGTATAATATAATATGATAGAATGCGTTTCGAATTAAATCAGACCAATGAAAGAAGAAATAAGAGAACCTCTTATGGACGAGATACTCTAAGACTAAAGTATCTCTTGCGGATTTAACGAAGTAAGGAAGGATCTTATAGACCAAGCCAATGAGCAATAAGAGTGATTCCAAGTGATCTGAAGCTATTGCGATTTCCATGATTTCGATCAAGTCGGAGAAGTTGAACGTGTCATCGAAGAAGTCCTTTTTCTTGGAGGCCAAGTTCTTTTGTACGAAGAAGGTAATAACATTTTCGACGACTTTAGCCATTCTCGAGAGTTGTTTTGTGTTATAAATATTAGTGTTAGTCTTTGTGATGAAAAGGAGTTCATTGATAGTAGTGATATCCCCGACTACAATTAACGCTTTAAAACACTCTCCAACAGAAGACGCTTGCTTAGTTGAGTCAAATTTCCTCATCATGACACCAATCGTCTGGAAGAACCATTTCTTGTAATTAAAATACTCACTCGACCGAATGATCTTTTCTACTGGGACTCCGCAGTCTGTAAGAGCTTTGAACCACTTTGGGATGAATTGTACAATGAAGACAAAAGGGTTAGGAAAGAGGAGAATGAGTGCTATAGGTGTTCTTAATTCAGTTTGGAATTTGATCTTCAACGTGTCGATTAAAGATGCGTGGGGGTCAAATTGAAGGACGGACATGTTCGCATCAATTTGACTGTTTGTGAGTTGATTGATATAAAGTAACAACGAGCAGTCGACGCTACAAAGTGCGCTAAAGAGAGCAGAGATTTTGTCTTGTATTGATTCATAGAGTTTTGGGATCACTATTTTCGACAGCGAAAAATAGACGTCGTCCGAGCTTTGAAGGGTCAATCCATCAAATTGGTGTTTCGTGAGTAAAGCTATCGCTAATTTCTCAAATAAACTATTAACTAAACTATAAGTCTCCCGACAACAAATCACATAGTCCGTATAGATTTGATGAATATATTTCACTTCTTTCTCTTTCTTCGAACTCGTAGCTGACGTACAGAACTTCGCAATATCTGTAAACGTTTTTCTATTTATTAATAAAATGAAAACTATTTGGTATAGTTACTGGCGCGAATGAAAGAATAACACAAACAACGTCACACAGCGTTCTAATAACGAAAGAACTATATCCATCGTCGAATTTAAAACCCCATAATTACAAATATATAACAAATGCGACCAAAATTCAAAGAAGATGGAAACGTTACTTTTCTCGGAAAGTCGGAGGGGCTCTACTTCTAATTTCTCAAGCTTCTCTTTCACTTTCTCTAAGTTTGTCTGTCTGTTAGTATGTTAACACTCCAAAAATGTACTATATTATAATAATAAAATAATTATTAAAAAGAAACCATAACGAGTTGTGGGTACATGGGAGAATTGGCAGCTACTCCACACGACAACATTTTTTCAAAGTGTTTGTTTAGTTGGGCAAGTTGTGGATTACATACACCGGATTGTGAATGTCTCATGTATTGAACTGAGTTCTTTCGAATAGTTTATTCTATTGATATAGACATCATTTTTTTTCATAAAAAAGATCTTTAAATATTTATTGCAGTTACTTTTTAATTCAAGAAAAAAGAAAATAGTGCCAATTACTTGGTCTTTTTTAATTAAAATAATTTATATTTTAATAATAAAATAGTAGTATGACGAAATCAATTGTTTTTGAACAAATTTCATACTTCCATTTTTTGAAGATTTTTTGATTCAAACACTTTAATTTTTTTAAATTAATTATAATTTATAATAATTTATTATCATTAGTATAACAATTAGATGATTTATAGTATTATTCTAGTAAAACTATAAACCATTAAATTAATAATAAAATGTTATTTATTTTACTAAAATTAATTCGACATGAAAATAGTAAATATTATAGTAAAAAAACCATTCATATAACAAGAACACGCAACGATGATTTACTTAGTGTTTCTTGCAGGTATAGAGGTAAGGATCAGTTCCGATAGAACCGTCGATGTCTTGCAAGTATTGTTCGGATGAAATGTAAGCGAGTTCTTCCTTGACTTCTTTGATTTGTTCATTGATCTTATCAGCGATTCTTGGTCTATTAGCAAGCATCTTGTTCAAGTAAGTCAAGTCTTTGTTCAACTTCTTCTCCTCGACTTTTTGTCTTGTCTGTAATCTGAGTTTGTACCATTCACTAGCAAAGACGGCCTTTGGATCAAACAAGTCTCTGAATTCCTTTGATTCGATAGTCATGCCGTTATAACTTCCATTAGCCATGATATACAACAAAGCCTTCAATGGTGGGCAAGCACCTTCTACAGTTCCATCTTCGATATAATTACCAGCAATTCCCTTATCTGTCTGTGCCATATATTCATATGAATCAGCATAAATAGCCAAGTCTTGCTTCTCTGGTTTCAAGAAGTCTTCTGGCATCACTGAGTTTGGTGCAGTAAAGATCGAGCTGAAGAAGTGAGTAGCGAACTCCTTAGTGATTCTGTATCCAAGTCTTCTGCCCGCGTAAGTCTTTCCGTTATAAGAGACGTCTGGGACGGCTTCCAAGAATCCATGTTCAATCAAGTATTTAGGTTCTTGTTCGTTTCTTCTCATTCTGGACCAAATTTCTGGGATCAACAAAGAGATGTCGTGGCTGATCTTATAATGTGGGCCACAATACGACGCCGAGGAAACAAATCCAGAGTATCCACAGCAGATCATACCCAACAAGTAGTTGTTCAAATCAACAACAGCTGGAAGGGAGTTGAATGGACCTTTAGTCAAAGCGCCTTCAGATCCTGCACCGAAGATAGATGGTGATGCTCCAGTCATCGAAGTGATAGCTTCCATCAACAACTCTGGCAATTCGAAGTAGTGGAGTGGAGCAAAGACGGAGAGTGGTCTTAAGACAAGAGCTCCTTTAGTTTGTGGTGGGTTGTTTCTTCTTCCAGACAAGACAGCATCGACTGGGGTATACAATGGATCAGTGTCTGCGATCTTTCTGAACAACGAAATAGCTTTGAATGTCATATAAGTGTTCTCTGGGTCCAACATGTCTGGTCTTCTTTGCAAGTATCTTGGGTTCTTCGAGCAGACCAACTTGTCTCCTTCCTTCACAAGTCTTGGTAATGATGACGACACAACATATTTCGTCTGATCTTTGCCAGCAACAAAGTCTTGCAAAGTGACTCTCATAGGGTCGGTGTATTGGTACAATCTAACAACGTCCTTGGTGAAGTCAGCAGCCTCTTCTCTAGTCATTGGTTGGTAATTAGAGATGAAGTGTCCTTCAATAGAGAAGTCATATTCAGTTTGTTTATCATACCCTCTGAAAATGGCATCGTCTGGTCTTTGGAAGAGTCTATATTCACAATTCTTGACGATCTTGCACGCTCTCTTCCCATTAGTGTTGATTGGAGTCTTCAACAACTTAGTTGGGACAATGACAGACCCGGTGATATCGTCTTCCATCTGCAATTTGGCAGCTGGGAAGAAGTCTTTTCTCAATTGGAAGACTCTCCAAGTCGTCTCATCGGACTCAAACCCTATTCTCAAGTATTGTGAAGGAAGTGGCATCTTTCTGTATTTCAATTCGTGGCCTTCTTGTCCATTGATCTTATCGACAGTGATTCTTGATTGCCAGTCGCCCTTCCATTCTTCTCTGTACAACGATTTGATCGTTAAGATCAATTCAACAATAGATGGTTGGATGGTCTGAATGAACTCATTGTGTTCTTCAGTGAAGTTCGCTGATGGTGTCAACATCTTGACAACCGTCCCAAGCGTGACATTTGGATCGAGAATGTGTGCAGACTTAATTTCTCCATCGGCATATCTTCTTGAGAAGTCGTGGTCAAAGACCTTTTGGACCTTCTTATATTCTTCTTCCTTGTTATTAATGAAGATCTTCCCAGCAAAAATGGCGTCACTAATGTTCTTAGAAATCTCGGACTTTCCTCCACCAGAGACAGTGCACGGCTTATGGCAGAGTGTGTATTGTGGCAGAATTCCTCTCAAAGTCCATCTTCTTGAAGTCATAGTGTCGTGTAAGATGATAGTATACCCATTAGGAAGGACATAATTGACTTTTGGTATCAAAAGAATGGTTTGCTCCTTTCCGTTGTAATGGAACTTAATAGAAGCCTCTTCAATATTGAATACGGCATCTTCTGGGACATATATAATACCTTCTGGATAAGTTTTATCAACAGCATACCCTTCTTTTAATGTAATTGAGTTCTTGTTCTTCTCGATCATCTCACTGTATTTGTACCCTTCAGCATATTGAACAGCTTTGGCTGATTCCCCAAGATCATATGATGGTCTGCAAATGGCTCCACCGGCGTGTTCTTCTTCGGCAAGTCCGTACAAGTTCGCTGAGAATGAAATTTGGGTCTTAACTTCCTTCTTGCAATAGCCAAAGTAGTTATCAGCAATGATAGTGCAAATGAAACCTGAAGCATCTCTGGCATACATCTTAAAGGTCTTTCCGTCGTTGTACAATTCGTCTTCTTTTTCCCAGCACATGTGCTCCTTCTTTTGTCTCTCAGTGGCTTGTGAAATGTGTGGAAGACCACATTCCTTCTTAGTGATCTTAGTCAAGTGTGGAGCAAGGACAGCCATACCAGTATGTCCAGTCCAGTTCAATGGGTCAAGTGCAGCATCGTTCTTCAATAACTTGGGGTTACCAGCATTGCCAAAGACAGACTCAACAAAGTCCAAGCAGGAAACCATGTTGCCTGGAACAAAGAAGTGAATTTCGGTCTTCTTTTCGTGTTCAAAACCTTTAACACCTTGAACAGCTGGAATGACTGTTGGTCTCATATAGAGTGAGACCCATGATTTGGTTGGATGTTCACATTCAGCAGTGTATGGAATAATCAAATGGTTGTCTGGAGCTTCATAGAATGCAGCTTTCAACATTCTTAAGAAAGCGGATTTGGGGCATTCAATCTTGTCAGTAGGAACGGGGACATCACCTTCACAGATGTGGAACACACCAACTGTTGTTCTCTTATCTTTGGCTGGGTTGTGCAAGACACCTTGTTTGATTTTGTATGAGGACATAGTCTCACAGAAGAAGTCTTGTTTGTTTGGGGGGAATGACAAAACTCTTCCAAGACCCTCTTTATCAAGAACGACTGTGTTGTCTGGGATCTTTGGTATTTCAGTCTTGCATTCGGCGAAGTATGAATTCAAGAATGATTGAAGTCGTTGATCAATTGGTGCGGTAACGTCTTGGTCGGCTTCTGCAATGACATCTACTAATGGTGTCATAACTTCGATGGCATCACTGTTTTTAGTGGTCTTTGGATATTCATGACCCATAACAGAGAGCTTCAAGTCAGCAAGTGACTCGAGGTCTGTCTGGTTGATAACTGGGTAATCAGTACCTTTTTCTTGATTGAACATTCTTCCTGTGTGAGTTCTTGGTGGACGATCTTCTTATTCAACTGCCAAGTGGACGTGACTTGAGATGACTCATTTTCTTCTTTGTGAATTTTTATAGCATTTCATCATTTTGGTTGTCATCATGTTCAATCGAGTTTACAATTTCTTCTTTTGTCACTCAACACTTTTCAATACTATTAGGTTTATTACTTTTTATTATTTAAATAGTAGTATGATGAGAGTCAAGTTGTTTGATGGCGTTTCTTACTGAAGTGGATATTTGGGAATATCATAAGAAAATTTGTGGACAGTTTTCAACCTTTTGGAATTCTGGAAAAGATAACTTGGGCATTTACTAAGTTGTGGTAACAAAAATAAGTTAGAGACTCGATTTTTGTAAATACTCGGTTTTGTTATGGAATAAATGCTGCTGTTAAAACTTTAATAAAAGAATCATTTTGTTTATTAAACCATTCCTTCAAAAAAAATAACACTCTTTTACATTTTTGGTGAGGGAATTTACATTTTAATTTTTCATAACTATAAATCAGAGATTATATTTTTAAATAATTATATTATAATTATTATTATTATAACACACTATTGAATAATTACTTTTTATTATTTTTTGTAATTTAAAACACAATTGTTATTTTATTAATATAATTACCACTTATTAACTAGTTATAATAATAATAATGAATTATTAAAAAAATATCAGATTTTTATTACAAATATTCAAAGGTAATAACCATATAAATATAATATATATATATATTAATACTAGTACATAAAAAATACTATTACAAATTCAAAACAATAGTTAACAATTTAAATATATAGTACAATAAAAAAAACAATTTTAATAAAAAAACTCAAAAAAAATAAAAATTGACGATGTCGGAACGATATGCCATATTTGATTTAGATGGAACGTTATTAGACACAGAAATTATGTATACGATAGCGACGCAACAATATTTAGATGAATATTCCCCCGGTTCCAAATTTGATTATGAGATGAAAAAACAAATGATGGGGCGTTTGATCGAACCTGCAACCCGTGCACTTTTAGAACGATATCACATCACTGATACTATTTCTCATGCCGTTCAATATAAAATAGATCATCTGAACTCACTCTGGTCACAAGTAAAACCCTTACCTGGGGCTATAAGAATACTACAGTATTTCAAGAAGCATTCAATCCCCATCGCACTCGCTACTTCAACAACTAAAGAAGTCTTCGACAACAAAATGGAAGCAAATAAAGACATGTTAAAATACTTCGACGCTATCGTATTGGGCGATAACCCAGCAGTTAAAGCATCCAAACCAAAGCCAGACATCTTCCTACATGCTGCAAAATTGCTTGGATGTACTGATATGAAGAAGGCAATTGTCTTCGAAGATGCAGTCTTAGGAGTCCAAGCGGGACTCGCGTCCGGAGCTCTCACTATTGCTATCCCCGAAGAAGAAAATGCCGACGATCCAGTCTTTAATACTGCAGATTGTATGTTGAAGTCACTCAACGAGTTCAAACCATCGCAATTTGGCCTTCCTGACGACTTCTAATAGATCGATACTTCTACATACTTGAGACTCCATTTTACTATCAAATTATAATAAATTATTATATATTTATAGTTTCTATAAATATATAGAAACTATGTGTTAGGAGAGTGTTACTAAAATAACAAACTATATTTATAGATGAAATAGTATATAAAGACTATCAATATACTCTGTCTGATGTGTGGGCGGCTGTGCGATGACTGCA